CAAACCAAACCAAACCAAACCAAACCAAACCAAACCAAACCAAACCAAACCGAAGCCAAGAAAACAAAACCAAACAAAATCAAACAAACCAAAAACAAACACCCTCAACCCTAAAAGAAAAGTCAGCGAAAGCATGCTCACAGGTCAGTCTAATTTAGACAACCCCTCATTGAGACTCCTTTCCCATGGGATTCTAGGTTGGGCCAAGCTGACTTAAAACCAACCATCACAGTTAGTGAAGTACTTGTCCTGTGAGCACAGCCACCTGAGTTCAACCCTCAGGACCTAGGTGGAGAGCTGGGTGTGGCTGCGCCCACTGATTCTAGCACAAGTAGGTGCAGACAGGCAGATCCCTGGGGCTTTCTGGCCACTCAGACTATTCTCCTTGTTAGTTCCAGGACAGTGAGAGACCCTGCTTCCAAAAAAAAGGTGGACAATGCCTGAGGAATCACATTCAAGGTTTTCCTCTGACTTCCATGTGCACACATATGTGTACATGAGCACACACAGACACCTCAACAGATTAAAAGTTAGGTATATATTCCAGGCATAGTGGTGCATGCCTTTAATCCCAGCACTTGGGAGGCATAGGCTGGCAGAACTCTTGAGTTTGAGGCTTGCCTGGTCTACAGAGTAAATTCTAGAACAGTCAGAGTTACATAGTGAGATTCTATCTCAACAAAACAAAACAAATTTAAAAATTAGGTATATACACATTTATAATGGTGACAAAGTTAAAAATTATCTGGGTATAGATTTTTCCTTTTATTTATCTTTAAATCTGGTTATACTTAATCAGTGCTGGCTACCTCCAGCACGCTCTGAAACTTTTGGCTAAGATCATCTGTAATTCTATGATTAGTAAGTTAAGAACTACACTAAGCCGGGCTGGAGAGACGGCTCAGTGGTTAAGAGCACTGACTGCTCTTCCAGAGGTTCTGAGTTCAATTCTCAGCAACCACATGATGGCTCACAACCATCTGTAATGGGATCTGATACCCTCTTTTGGTGTGTCTAAAGACAGCAAAACTGTACTCATATACATTAAATGAATAAATAAATCTTAAAAAAAAAAAGAGATCTGTCTTCCAAGAAATACACGAAGCACACATTTTATTACTACTAGAAGTTTCAACTTAATAGGAAAAAAATTACCCTATGCAACTTGGTCATTCCCAAGCTAGATATAAATTTCCTTTCAACATCTTAAACAATAGCAATGGAAAAACTTGAACAACAGAATACTTCAGATCTTAAAGACAGAATCACATTTCAACCTGTCTGTACCTCAGGAACATAATAAGCTGTTAGTACTATAGAATAACTGATTAAAAAATACTCATTTTATAGAAGGTAAACATTTATTTAAATTTTCAATCACTTTCTAGATACTGGATTTGACTAACAAGACCTCACCTTCACAAAGTCTTTAATTTCAAAGGGCAGCTTTTTGCAGGCATTCAGGAGCTCGGCTGTTTTAGCTTTGATTTCAATCTCACCTGTTGGCATTTTCTTAGAAGAAAAAAAAAAAGAATTATTTTGAAAGTCATTTTTCAGGACAGGTATGCGATACATATTTGTAAAACACATGTATTCATATACATATATAAAATAGGTCAAGCTATATTGTAGATTATAAATAATAAAAATCTATATAATCTTTACATTATTGTTTATATTTGTGGCTCATAAGATATTATATCATATCAGCAAATATATCAGCAAATATCATTATGTATTTGTCAAGGTTGACAGACGTCTTTTTGTACATACTTAGACCGGTGTGATGACATCTGTGAGTTCATTTGTGGAACTGAGGAGCTTCAATGCTAAGTGCCCACAAGTGACTCAATCTATGTTGTTCATGTATACGCAGACACTGCCAATGTACAAAGGAAATGTTCCATTCCCTAGACTACTAACCGGATTCTCTTGTCCCGGAGGTCGGGAAATTACTGTCCCAGATACTCTCACCACAGACTCCACAGGGGCTTCACACAAAATCCTCCTCATAGATGCAGCTGACTGCAAAATAAGGGGTGGGGAGCAGTTCCAAGAATAAATGAATTTATAGAAATCTTTAGTAAGTCTACAGTTTAGAAAAATGATATTCACAGCTTACGTGCCGTAATGTTGGAGATATTTACAGCTTATGTTCTATAATATTGGAGCGGTATCGATGTTATAACAAGAGCTGGTAAATCCTACTGTCATTTTAGCTCCATAGAATACAGCCAGTAAGACCACCAAGAATGCCCCTCCGTCCTTTCTTTGATGGGCCTCACCTTAGAGTCCGTACTGCCATGGACTCTCAGCCTTCCTGCCTCAGCTTCCCAGGCACTGGGATTGTAGGTATGCACTACCATGCCCACCAGCTATTCTTAATTTTAATTAATTTATTAATTTTTGAGACAGGTTTTCACTATGTAGGTCTGGCTGTCCTGGAACTCACTATGTAGACCACTCTGTTTAGCCTCAAACTCAGAGATCTACCCACCGCTTTCACTTAAGTGTTGGGATTAAAGGCATATGCCATTATGTCCAGCTTGCCAGCTACCTTTTATTTTGAGACAAATTCTAAATTGTCAGGCTAGCTTTACTTTGTGTGTGTGTGTGTGTGCACGCGCGCGCACGCGCAAGCGCTTGTGTGTGCTCACATGCTTTCATGTATATGTGTGTATATATACATAGATAAATGCTGAAGATGACTTTGAATTCTTGATATTCTTGCATCTGCTTCCCACTGATATGATTATTAGTGTATGCTTCCATGTCTGTCTTATATATTTTTTTGAAAGATTATTCTTAGGTTGTTTTTTTATAAATTTCATCTTCACATTCTCAGTCCTTTATTGATTTCTTTGGTAGCTAATTTATTTGTTACATTTATTTTGTATGTGTGCACACACAGGCAACTCACATCAGTGTACCATGTGAGGAGGTCAGAAGACAACTTGTGGGAATTGGTTTTCTCCTTCTCCCATACTGGTTTTGAACTCAGGTTGTCAGGCTTGTCGGCAGGCACCTTTAGTATACCCTTGGGCTCCACATCCCCCCTTTGTGTAGTTCTTTACATATTACAGAAATTATTAGCTGCTTGCCTGAATGTATATGGGTGTAACACATACATGACTGCTTGGAAGCCAGTGAGAACACTGGCTTCCCTGGAACTAGAGTTACAGATGGCGGTGAGCTTCCGTGTGAGTGCTAGGACTTGAACCCTGGTCCTTACCAAGAGCAGCAAGTGCTCTTAACTGTTCTAGCCATCTCTCTAGTTCTTTAGTTTATTAGGTATTAATGTTGTATATAGTATTTTTTAGTTTTTATTAGTAGTTAATTCCTGAAATTAAAACTTCAAACATGTTGATCAAACTACTTAGCTTATACTACTATCTAATCAAAGTAGCTTTTAGATAACGGTAGCAAACCCTGTATTACCTCATCCTGGGGAATGAGAATTTGAACAAGACCGTGGCAATCTCTCAGAACTATGAAGGTGTTCTGCCTGAATAACGGGAGGAAAAAAGAATATTTTAGGATGAAGTCTCTCGGCTCAAAATTTAAAGACAAAACCAGTAATAAAAAATGTCATGTAATTTCTCCATTTTTATGATTATATACTTTCATAAGCTGCATTCGTGCAATTATCTTATGCCCCGCCCCTCTCTTTTTGAGAAAAGGTCTGGCCTTGTTGCCCATGAACCTGACATTTTCTTGTTCAGTTTCTTAAGTAGCTGAGATTATAGGCACATATGGCCACACCTGGCCAAACTCTTCTTTTCAACAAGGATTTTCATTAATTATTCATATACTAATTTGCTATATGTGACTCATTAATGACAAAGTAGATTTAAATTCTTCTTTCTTTTTTTGAGACAAGGTTTCACTCTTTGGTTGTAGCTGGCCTAGAATTCATGCCTCAAATTCACAGAGATCTGTTTGTCTCAGCCATCTCGGTGCTGGGATTAAAGATGTGCACCACCACACTTGGCTAGATTTCAAGTTTTCGAATGTGGAAGCATGCAATCACTTGTTTGCAGAGAAATTCCTAAAGGAGCTGTGCAGACCTGTGCCCTAGGCTCTTAAAGCACTATTTAGTAGCAGGTTGAGAAAGCAGTAAAGGTCTTTATTGAACTGGAAGTTGGAATCATGACAAAGAAAAGCCTGAAGACTACTTATCTTTAAAGATTCACTCTAATTTCAAGTATGTGTCTGTGTGTGGTATGTACATGTGAAATGCAGGGTTCCCAGAAGGCCAGTGGCCCAGGGAAATGCCCCAGGGGCTGGAGTTACAGGTAGCTGTGAGCTTGATGTAGACGCTGGGAACCCAATTCTGGATCCTCTGCAAGAGCAGTGTTGTCCTGAACTCCAGAGCCATCTCTCCAACCTCTGAAAACGTTTCTTGATCTTGCTTGCCACCATGAGAAGGAATTTCTCATAAAAGGGAATTGAAGACTATGGATTTTTGTCAACTAAGGCTATGAAGCAGTCATGAGATTTGATAGGTTCTGCAGAAGAGTTTTATTTCATCCTAATGCCCTTCTTCCTACTTGAAGAAGATGACAGACCATCTTTCTCACTTGCTACAGCATCTTACAGGAACTCAATACGCTAGAATCAAATAAACCTTGAGATTACAGTTGTAGTACATGGTCTGGAGTCAGCTTTAACTATGCCCTGTGTGCAAACAATGATTTACTAATTATGATGATTAGGGCTTCTTGACTTCTTCATTTCTACTGCAAAAGACACCAGCTACACTGTACTGGGGCTACTGTTCTTGAAACCAGTTGGCTATGAAGTCTCTTCTCTGAGGTAACTAATGTTCCAAGAAGGATCTGGACACAACAGTTTTAGACAACTTAGGAGTATGGTTTTACTTCTATATAATAACTAACAGTTAAATTGCTGGAAACTAGATATGTAGACACATGTCTTTAATCCCAGCACTCAGGTGGCAGAGGCAAGTAGACTTCCGTGGGTTCCAGGCCAGCCTGGTCTACATAGTGAGTTTCAGGCCAAACACTGTAAGACTCTTATCTCAAAACAAAACAAAAGGCTGCCATTGGAGGGTGTATGTGAAGTACTTGTGGAGGAAAAGTCTAAATTACAAAGTTTCAACCCAAGTCAGTGAGCTACATTAATCAGCTCAACACAAAAAAGAGCAAAATCAGGGCTGGAGAGATGGCTCAGTGATTGAGAGCACACTGACTGCTCTTCCAGAGGTCCTGAGTTCAATTCCCAGCAACCACATGGTGGCTCACAACCATCTGTAATGAGATCTGATGCCCTCTTTTGGTGTGCCTGAAGACAGCTACAGTGTACTCATATACATAAAATAAATAAATCTTAAAAAAAAAAGAGCAAAAGCTGTACTGGGCTGAATGAGAGCAAGCACTTACTTTATTTTTATTTGCCTATCCTTTCCTATAATGTCTATAACTGCAAAAATGGAATACATTCTATGAGTAAGTTATTATTATTTAAGAAAATAAAAATATTTTTCAATGGCTTAAGTCCTCACAAGAAAATTTTATTAACTTTCTAAACTTTTCTTTCACATTTTAAAATCCAAAGGAAATCTTTTAGAGAACTAGAAACATTTGATTGGGCATTTCCCTCCCTAAATTGAAAGAGATAACATATATTTTCTTTCTTTATTTTAAAGAGTTAATTTATAATGGGAAAACAAGGGCTAGAGAGGTGGCTCAGAGGCTTAGAGTGCTTCCTGCTCTTCTAGAGGGCCCAGCTTTAATTCCTAGCACCCAGATGGCAGCCCACAACTGTCCATAACTCTAGTTTCATGGAACTAGACATCCTTTTCAGGCCTCCATAGGCATCAGGTATGCATACAGCCAAACATACATACAGGCAAAATACCCATACACATAAAATAAACATAAATAAAAGTTCAAAAAAGAAAGAAAGGCAAAGCAATGGAATAACTATCTTCCAGTAATCCATCAAAAAGCAAATACGAAGGGAAAGAGAAGCAACAATCAATGTATATTCTCTAGGCCTTTTGGAAAGCAAGGAGGTATTCCTTTGTCCAATGCATGTGACTCTACAAGGGGGATACTGCAGACATCAAGGAAAAGAGTACAGTTAAAAAAGAATGTTACTATGGCAAAGCTCTAAGAGTCTACACTCACTCAGCACAGTGCTGACAGTTACATACAAGCAGGTTAAGAACAAGATTCTTGCCAAGACGATGTCTGCATTGAGCATGGTGAACACTCAAAGAGCCGAGGTAACTTCTTTAATGTGACAAACATCTACCCACATTTTGAACTTCTTCAAAGAATTACTGTGCTGATATGCTTCAGAACATAACAGATGAGCAACAACAAGCACAGCACTGGCCTTGAGCCTAAGGAATCGCTGCTCATGTTTTTAAGCTTTTTCTTTACTTACATTTCGAATAGAGTGAGCTTGCTCTCCTCTGCTTCACAGCTGGCTTACAGAATTCTAGTCTACTCCCAGTTACAGGTTATAAGAGCCTTTTAAAGTTAGCACAGGATTAGTTCAGTCCTCTGCTGGGTCTGGTTCTATCATTATACCTTTTAACTGATGATATCAGTACTTATTGGGAGTGACACTATTAGACTTTTTCCAAAACAGAACAGAAAAATGCAGTGACTTCTGAGAAACTACAAAAGTGGCAAATATTATTCTCTGAATGGATAAAAATTAGTGAAAGTTGGGACTTGTTTCCTCAGTTACCTTCGGTACTGAATCCATCCACACAGAGTGACTTCTTGGCCTAAGTGGGAAGAACGCAACTCTCCACACGTGTTGGTCCGAGCAACAAAGCTACTGAACTCTTTAAAAAGAGAAGGAAAAAGCAATTTAAAAGACAACAGTAAGAATATTTGTTGTTCTTTAAAAAATACTTACCATTCATGATATATTAGCTGTTTCAGATCAATGGGTGAAATTAATAAAAATTTTAAATTACACGTGGTGTGTGTTTATGTGTGTATACCCATAGGTATGGGGGCCCATATGCCTCGGTGCCCCTGTGGAAGTCAGAGGACATCTTTTTGGATTCTGTTCTCTTCTACTTACAATGTGGGTCTTGGGAGTGAACTCTGGTACTCAGGCTTGGCAGTAAGTGCCTGAAGCCACTGAACCATCTTGCTGGCTTGATGACATTTATAAAATAGCCTAGATTATACAATACCCCTATTGTGTTTACCCACAAAAGTGTCAAGGCCCAAGCAAATAACTGCCCTAAAGTAAAATTTTGCATTGTTTGGAAATATAAACCTTTTACATGACCTAGCACTTGAATGGACATAAAATGGCAACTGTTCATTTTGCTAAGTGAAATAAAATCTCAGAAATCACCTGTTTGACAGTGCAGTTACTATTTAGCTTTAGTACAACTACAGTTTATAACAATCATTTGTACTATTAAAAGTGTGGAAAAGATTTCATTTAAATTATTACTTTAGATTTTCTAGTAATAGCATACAATAAACAGACTATCTACCTTTTTTATAATCAAGGGGAAAAAACCCCTTGATTATAACTAATCAAGAGAATGAATGACCTGGTATTAAAACGAAGTTAGGATCGGGGGAAACAAGTTGTCAAAAACAGGCGGAAGCTCGTAGCTGCCTTCACCTGGAATTCTTTGTGAACTCAAAGCCAGATTTCTGGAAAGAGAACCCCAGATTGGCTGCATGGTCTTTCCGATGGGTCTGGATAAACCCCTGCATAGACGACTTAACCAAGAACCAAGATACATGTTGAAGTCCCGGGATCCGTAGAGACAATCACGAATCCCACGCTGCAGGTGTGGTGGTGCTCAAAACTCGGTTTTCGAAATATCAGGAACCCTTAAAATTCTAGTTCCCACGCAAATGCTTCCAGACCCTCCTCCGCAGAACGTTCAAGTATCTACAAAGTAGATTGATCTGCAAGGTCTCCAGAGCCCTTGGGTGAGTGGTTAGGGCAAACCTTTGCTTCCTTCAGTGCATCAGTTCCCACTTTAATTAAACAAGGCTGCGCCCGGAAGACATCAAAAGACCCCAAACAGCAGCGCCAGCGCCAGAGCGACCCCAGCCGGAAGGACGGTCACTAGGCGCACGTCCTCTCTTTATTCCCACGTTTCTCGAAGGTGACCAGGGCATAAGCAGAAACATAAGGAGGTACAGCCTTGTGTTTCAACTCTCCCAAACCTGGCGGCCCATCTTGAATTTTTCTGAAAGGTGAGGACGAGCAAATCCAAAGAGCTCTGAGGTTCGAACCCAGATACAAATCACATCCAGAAGCCAGTCCCTCTGACGCCCTGCGAGTGCCAAAGTTACGCAAGGATTTCGGCCAATCAGAGCGAGGGCGCCTCCGCCTTGTTTGTTGTGGGCGGAAGTTTGCGAGAAAGTTTCGCACCGGTTGGAAAACGGAAGAGCAACGCGGCGCAATAGGGAATTTGAGGCTATTGATTGAAGCCTCCAAGCCTTGCCCTCAGTTAAAATGGCGACTTCAGTTGCTAATTTACGTGAAATCGGCGGGCCACAGGAGCGGCTTTCCGCGTCGGCCGCAGGGCAAGTCGGGAAATGATTTTAAACTGGAGGGCGTGGCGTGTGTGGAGTTGCGCCGTTGTGGAACGGAGGTTTCAAGTCTACTTTTTTGATCGCAGGAGAGCTCTGGAGAAGGGTCTTTGGCGACTCCCTATCTTTCGTGGGCCGGCGGCAGCTTCGGAAGAGTGAGGGTCGCAGAGCGGGGCTGCTTGGGAAGCGGAGCTGTTTCTCTCGGGGTGAAGTCGGTGTTGCTCGCGCCTGGGGGAAGCTAGGTTCCCTCCAGGGCTCCTGATGTCTCTTCTGAACTCACCGGGGATTGCTTCGGTTCTCTCTTAGCCGTCATTGTGGCCGCTTTCTTTTTCTTAAAAAACCAAAACCTTTCGTCTTTCGTCTCGACGTAGTCTTGGAGCCAGACTTGAAGAATGCTTCGTGAATCCGGAATGAAGGACAGTGTCATTACGACATAATTTTGGTAAGAGCTTTTGTGTGAGTCCTCGACTGGCCATGTACTGCTTTTATTTCCGTTGGGTGGCGGTTGTCTTTGCGATGCTTTTGTGTATTTAGATGGGTACAAACAGAAGTTAGCATTCAAGTGAGCGTTGGAATGGGAGCAGTGGGTTGACTTTTGTGACAATATTGCAGTGATTAACTCAGGGAGTTTCTTCATGACTAACCCCAAGAAAAACTACTGAGTTTTAGTCGTGTGTTAGGAACCGAGTACAAGAAAATTGGACCAGAGATGTAGTTCTGTGGATACTTGAAAGCGGCTGATAGGGATCGTTTGTCACAGGCATAAGATTCAAAAGAGGTGCAGACTTGAAAAATACTTAGAACCTTTCCTCCTGTCAACTGTCAACACAGTAGCTTACTTAATGGGGTCGTTTGAGGAGTGAACAGTAGTACCAGATATGTCCTCGCACTAGGGAGGCTGATGAGGCAAGAGAATTGCCGCGAGTTCTAAGGCCAGCCTGGGCTACACAGAGAGACTGTCACTCGATATAAACAAAACAACCCCAAACAAAAGGAAAACATTCATTAAAGGCTTAATATTTGTTAAGTGCTTACAAACATGCCTGGAAAGTAATGTATACTTAGCAATTATTGTACCAATTAGCATACTTTAAGGAAAAATTCTGTATAAACAGAACTGATGAAGACTTCTATCTAAATAGTAAACAAGGGGGGAGGGGGGGGAGGAGGTGGTGGCATCGGGAAGATGCTGCTTTCTGAAGTAAAGTTAAACTGATGGAAGATTTTTAACAGAGGGGTTTGGATAAGTGGGACCTGCGTGGCTGCTATGGACAAGAAGAACTTGTAAAGAGTCAAAAATAATAAAAAGACTAGGAGTTCTATCAAACCAAGACTGCTCTGATGAGAAAGCCAAGGGTGTCTCTAAAGATAAAGACACATTCCAGAAGTTGGCCTGGGACCTCCACAGGTATCAGAATCAAAGGAGCTGCAGCTTTTCCAGGCAGCAGCAGCTCCAGTTCTTGGTTCCTAAGCCCCGAAGGCAGGCAGGACAAGAGGTGGTACTCTTAATCCAAACTTCCTGAAAGCAACGAGAAAGGGCAAGACAGGACCGCTAATCTTAAACCCACTGAAGTGCACATTAGTGGGAGGTTCGCCAGGAGTGTGGCTAAGGCTCACGTCATGGAAATACTTTATGCCTGTGGGAAAATGAAAAATGTTTATTTAAATGTTGCATCCCTGTCTGTGGTGCTTTTTATTTTATTTCTTTAATACTTATTTCTGTGTGTGTTCATGTACTATGACGCAGCTACATTGCTGAGAGGACAAGTTACAGCAGTCAGTTCTCTCCTACTGTACGTACAAATTCCAGGATTTGAACTCAGGTTGTTTAACTTGGCTGCAAGTTCCTTTATTGGCTGAGCCATTTCACCAGTCCTGAAGTTTTGAGAATCCAGATAAAACTACGAAGATGCCAAAGCCCACTGAGGAGGTATTAATGGCAGGAAATCACTGTTCCCCTAATATAGACAACTGGCTCTTCCAGGTGATTTACCCTCCGTAGAGAATGTTGTCACCCTTCTCCTGTGGCACACCACTCCTGAGGAGGAGGAAATGGCCATGCCCCCTGAGGTACATGTGTGTGTGTGTGTGTGTGTGTGTGTGTGTGTGAGAGAG